TTAGGTTTTTACAATATAGGTTTTCAGTTTTTTCGACTATCCTTGCTTGGCCTGTTACTCTTACATCCCATCAAAAACCCTTTCTTTGCTTCTTATTTTTTTTACTTATTTGCCCTTTTTTTTACAATAATTCCTTTTGACATTAGGGTGTCCCATGTCCATAGTTGAGTTGGATTGGCCCACTTTCTGTAATAAATTGGATTTGTTCCAATAGACTCCCAATACTTTTTTTTTATTTGCAAAAAGAAAATAGTTATATTTATTTTAAATTAGTATTTATATTTTGATTTTAAAATATAAATACTATAGTATTTCTTATCCAAATAAAAAAGTTTGAATATCGTTTTCAAATTTGGTTTATGAAATATGTTGTTCATCCGATAATGAACAATCTACATCCCCCACCAACCACCCCACAAGTGGCCTGGAGCACCAGTTTGACTATCGTCTTCAGGTACATCTTTTTGAGAGGGTTCGACAACATCTCCCACTGGATCTGAGCCACCAGATTCAGACGGAGCACTAGAAGTCTGCACATATTCAATTGCATTTTTCACTCGAGGTTTTGGCCTCGGTTGTTGGGTTACAACCTTCATCCAGTCATCAAAGGTCAACTTTGCCTTCGGATCTTCCGCTGCCTCTTTACACTTCGCAACTGTGTGACCTATTAGCCCACATTTGTGGCAGAAATTAGGAAGGTCTTCGTACTTCAAGGGATAAATTCGATTTGTACCTCCTATACCAGTACTGACAAGAATAAATCGTCGTAATGGTTGTGTGATATCGACATCCACTCTCACGCGAAAAAATTCACCACGATTACCGCCTTGTATACGCACGTCAACTGCTAGGACAGTGTCAATCCGTTTACCCAGTTCAAGTCCCATCTTCTTTGTCATGGCCCCGAGGGAGAGATTAAGAATTTAAACACAAACCGGCATAGAACTAAATGAATAGTCATCTAATCCCTTCGTTGCATCGTATGGGACCATCGAAAAATAGTCTCCGTCAAACGTCCATGGAAATTTATTGATAACTAGTTTCATGTAATCCGTAGAACTGATGGATGAAATTGCTTCGATGGATGATCAGACACTGGAAGCTTTGGCAACGGGCGAACCGACTCCACAAGAGAATCCAATGTCGAATTCCCCAGGGGAATTCGAGTATGGAAAAAGTACAGGCTCCGGTTTAGCCTTTGAAGAGTACCAAAAGCAGTTTTGGTAAGAATAAGGTGGATAATGACTCGACTTCTGCATTGTCCAAGAGTTCTACTACCGACAATTTGTTGGGAACCCTGGCAAGAACAAGAAGATATCAGCGGAGGCTGCGTGGCATGAAGCTGTTATGTTGGAACTGCCGAGGACAGAGTAGTTCTCGAGTAGTTCATTCTCTTGGGCGATTTGTCGCTCAACATCTTTATAGTATTGTTTTCTTAAGTGAGATTAGACTTAGACAAAATCAGAGTGATGTTATCAAAAATAAATTAGGAATGTCGGGTTGTTTTACAGTTAGTAAAGATGATAATTGTACTGGTCTCATGTTACTTTAGAATAATAAAGGTTACGTGGAGCTTTTGTCTTACTCTGCGCACCATATTGATGTTTTCATTAAGCAATAGACTGACCAATTCCATTTCACTGGAGTTTATAGACACTATAATGCTAAATATAAACACCTATTGTGGAACATTATGGATACTCTTCAAAGTAATTCGTCTTTACCTTGGTTAGTTATGGTGATTTTAACGAAATTTTGATGGACTAGGAAAAGTTTGGGGGTCGAAGGAAACCACGGATATTTTTAAATGAGTTTCGTGAGGTACTAGACCGAAATAATTTAATGGGTTGTAAACCAATGAAAGGTTGGTTTACATGGTCCCATTGAACCAAGAATGGGTCTATTGTCTCGGAACGTTTGGATCGATTCATCGCATTGCCTGCATAGTTGTCCAACCATTCCCAATTACGAGTATTTACCGAGTATACAGGGGATTCCGGCCATTGTTATTTAACACTGGATACCAATTGCAATTGGAATGGGAGCAATTATAAAAAAAAAGGAATGGTTATTTTAAATATGATCAATGTTGGGCTAATGAATGAGAGTGTACAGCCCATGTACAAGACATATGAATCACACAGCTGGATCGGCGCTTGGCAAGCTTGAAGCAGTGGGTAGTTCCTTAAAGGCTTGGCAGCAGTACCGATTCAACGCTACAATGGCTTGCATAGCAAAGTTGAGGAGATATGTCAATGATGGTTTCATTGTACATTTGCGTTCTATGGATCCTAAAAAAATTAAATGCTAAATGTGAATTACAAAGGCTTTTGGACAAAGAGGAACAGTACTGGTCCCAACGGTCACGAGTTAACAGGTTGGCCTATGGTGACCGAAACACGACATTTTTCCATGCACGCTCAACCGAACGTCAGAAGAAAAATCGAATTAAGGTCTATTGGATGACAATGACCAATGGATTGAGACAGTTGATGCCATGCATAGTATTGTCACTTCTTATTTTAGGGAAATGTTTAATTCGTCCAAGGTAGATTCGAGCTCTCGCATTCTTGAAACTATTGCAACAGTTGTCACTTCGAGTATGAACGCTGAATTAATGAAGGCCTTTACATCAGCGGAGATTGTAACGGCTTTCAATGATATCAATCCTACGAAAGCACCGGGCATTGATGGTTTACCAGCTAGCTTCTTTCACCAACCATAGGTCCCGAAATTATTTCCTTATTTTTGGGTCTTCTTAATGGTCGTCAGGATATGGCGATGGTGAACAAAACGATCCTTGTCCTTATTCCAAAGGTCGACGAGCCTAAGTACATGAACCAGTTACGTCCCATCAGCTTATGTACCGTGGTCTACAAAATAGTTTTCAAAGTGCACGTAAATCGCTTAAAACCAGTTATGGCAACGTGCATAAGCGATAACCAAGTAGCTTTCTTACCAGGACGACATTTCGGATAATATTTTGGTGGCACATGAAATACTGCACTATATGAATTCTTCTAAGAATGGTATTAACAAAGGTGTTGGTTTGAAACTTGATATTGAGAAAGCGTATGAAAGAGTCAAATGAGACTTTCTGCGTTGTGTCATGCTCAAACTTGGATTTAGTCCAGAATTTGTCGATTTAATAATGACATGTGTAACTACGATGTCTTTTGTGTTGAAAGTTAAGAAATGAAAAGTAAAAAAGGGGGCTACACAGTAAAAAAGGGGACTGCACCGAAAGTGCATAAATATTGTCAAATTTCGGTGCAGCAATTGCTTAATTTTGAAACGGGTAAAATCACACAATTAGTCATTGTACTTTAGGGTATTTATAAGATTAGTCATTAAGCTTCAACTATAAATACTCTAACCCATTTAGCTTCAAAATCATCCAAAAATCATTTTCTTTCTCCCAATACTAGAGAGCTTTCTTGTGAGTAGTGAGTGTTTTGTAAACACCTGTAAATTTTCTCTCTTAATAAAAGATCTGCAGCAGTCCGGAGACGTAAGTAAAATTGGCTGAACTCCGTTATCAATTTCGGGTATTATTTTTCCGCTTTTATTTCGCATTTTCACTAATCTGGTTATAGGGAAATTACTCGTTACTCGTTTATTTCCCAACAACTGGTAATCAGAGCTTTTGGTTGTGAATTTTGTCAATTTTTTGCGAGGTTACTATTCATTACTATTCACGTGAATAGTGAATTTCGTGAATAGTGAAATTTTGTCGGCGAAACAAATTTGTCGACGGGGGTATTCTAATACACGGTGGTTCGCAAGAATTGTTAGAAACGATCCAAACGAAGCCAGATTCGAGTGGAAGCGATGGCTGCAGACGAAGGGAATGTGAAAATTGAGAAGTTCGATGGTGCGAACTTTGGCTTTTGGAATATTCAGATTGAAGATTTTCTGTATCAGAAAAATCTATATCAACCTCTCTCAGGAAAGCAACCAGAGGGCATGAAGAATGAAGAATGGGCTCTTCTCGACAGACAAGCCATCGGAGTTATCCGACTGATGTTGTCCCGAAATATTGCTTTTCAACATAGCAAAGGAAAAGACCACGGCGGGTCTTATGGCGGCTCTCTCCAGCATGTATGAGAAGCCATCGGCCTCAAACAAAGTGCACTTGATGAGGCGATTATTCAATTTGCGGATGACAGAAGGGGCATCGATGGCACAACACCTAAATGAACTCAACACAATCACAACACAGTTGAGTTCAGTGGAAATTGAATTCAATGATGAAGTTCGAGCTCTAATTCTCTTATCATCTCTACCAGATAGTTGGAATGTTATTGTTACAGCAGTCAGCAGCTCGTCGGGAAATAACAAATTAAATCCGACGATGTTCAGGATCTGGTATTAAGCGAAGAAATTCGACGGAGAGAATCGGGTGAAGTATCAACCTCCTCAGCCTTGCACACGGAGTCCAGAGGGAGAACTTCATAAAGAAATTCAAATCGTGGCAGATCGAAATCCAGAATGGGTAAATCAAGAACAGGAAAGAAAGATTTTACATGTTATAATTGTGGCAAGAAGGGTCACTTTAAAAGAGATTTTCGAGCACTGAAGAAAGATATCGGTGCACAGGAATCTGCCAACATGACAGAGGAAACAGGTGATGTTATGATTCTAAGCGTCAACACTCCGATTGAATAATGGATCTTGGATTCAGGGGCATCTTTCCACTCCACCCCATGCCGATAAATCATGGAAAACTATATTAATGTTGATTTTGGGAAGGTTCATCTAGCTGATGATGAAACCTTAAAGATCGTCGGAAAAAGATACATCCGATTAAAGTTGTCAAACCAGACCACCTGGACGCTGAAAGGAGTGAGACATATTCCTGGCCTCAAAAGAAATTTGATTTCTGTAGGACAATTTGATGGAGAATGATATAGCACAACCTTTTCAGGCTGTGAATGGAAGATTACCAAAGGAGCACTCGTCATTGCTCGTGGTAAGAAGACTGATACTCTCTATGTAACCTCAAACTTAGAGAATATCATTACTGCAGCAGATGCTGATGGAAAATCAAACCTATGGCACCAAAGGCTTGGTCATATGAGCGAGAAAGGGATGAAGACACTTTTGTCAAAAGGGAAGCTGTCGGATCTAAAGAATGTAGATGTCAGACTATGCGAGGATTGATTCTTTGGCAAACAAAAGAAAGTCAACTTTGCAAAGATTGGTAAGACACCCAAGGCTGAAAAGTTAGAGTTTGTTCATACTGATGTATGGGGACCATCTCCAGTTTCATCTCTTACAGGCTCATTATATTATGTCACCTTCATCCATGATTCTACAAGGAAGGTGTGGGTTTATTTTCTAAAGAAGAAATCAGAAGTCTTTGATACCTTCAGAAAATGGAAGGTCATGGTGGTAAACGAGACTGGTTTGAAAGTCAAGCGGTTGAGGTATGATAATGGATGAGAGTACAAAATAGTAGATTCAGAGAATTTTGCGCAAACAATGGGATCAAGATGGAGAAAACAGTTCCCATGACACCGTAGCAGAATGGCGTAGCAGAGCGCATGAACAAAACTCTGAATGAACGTTCCAGAAGCATGAGGATACACGACGGCTTGCCTAAATTGCTATGGGCTAAAGCTATCAACACTGCAGCTTACCTAATCAATCGTGGGCTCTGAATTCCCTTGGATGGCGGAATACCAGAGAAAATTTGGAGCAAGAAAGAAATAAACCTTTCACACTTAAGAGTGTTTGGTTGTATTTCTTATGTACACATAGACTCTGCTGAAAGAAGTAAACTTGATGCTAAGTCCAACAAATGTGCCTTTGTTGGTTATGGCGGTGATAAGTTTGGTTACCGGTTTTGGGATTACGAAAATCAAAAGATCATCAGAAGCAGAGATGTCATTTTCAATGAGAATGTGATGTACAAAGACAGATCAATTGTAGAATCAAGTAGCTCCAATACTGAAGCTGAAACAAAGGAATTTGCCGAGTTTGAGGAGATTTCTGGAAATGATGTTCAGATCAATCCTGAAGCAGTTCAAGAAGAACCAGGCACACCAGAACTGAGACGCTCTTCCAGAATTCCTAAACCAACCCAACGGTATTCTCCTTCTTTGCACTACTTGTTGCTGACTGACAATGGTGAACCAGAGTGCTATGATGAAGCAATGCAAGTGGAGGATTCAGTCAAGTGGGAGTCTTCCATGAAAGATGAGATGGACTCGCTTTTGTCAAATCAGACATGGGAATTAGCTGAATTACCACCAGGCAAGAAAGCGCTCCACAACAAGTGGATTTACAGGATCAAAGAAGAGCACAATGGGAGCAAACGCTACAAAGCGAGATTGGTTGTCAAATGTTTTCAGCAGAAAGAAGGTATTGACTACAATGAAATTTTCTCTCTAGTCGTAAAATTGTCTACAATCATACTGGTGTTGCAAATTGTAGCTGCAGAGAATTTACATCTTGAGCAGTTAGATGTAAAGACAGTTTTCCTTCATGGTGATTTGGAGGAAGAAATCTATATGAGGTAGCTAGAAGGCTTCATAAAGGCAAGCAAGAAAAACCTAGTATGCATGTTGAAGAAGAGCTTGTATGGTTTAAAACAAGCTCCTAAACAGTGGTACAAGAAGTTCGATAGTTTCATGAGTAGCAGTGGTTTTACCATATGCCAAGCAGATCATTGTTGCTACATCAAGAGGTTCGACAATAGCTTCATTATTTTATTGTTGTACGTTGATGACATGCTCGTTGCAGGGTCAGACATGCAAGAGATTATACACTTGAAGCAAGAATTGTCAAAGAAGTTTGCTATGAGGGATCTTGGCGCTGCAAAGCAGATTCTTGGGATGAGGATCAAGAGAGACACAAAGTCACGGACTTTGATGTTATCACAGGCTGAGTACATCAACAAAGTACTCTCCAGGTTCAACATGCAAGATGCTAAACCAGTAAGTACACCTTTAGGCGTTCATTTCAGACTTTCCAAAGAACAGTCACCAAAGACGGAGGAAGAACGTGCACACATGGTGAAGGTGACGTATGCCTCAGCAATTGGAAGTCTGATGTATGCCATGGTTTGTACCAGACCAGATATTGCTCATGCAGTGGGAGCTGTTAGTAGATACATGAATAATCCAGGCAAGATACACTGGAAGCTGTCAAATAGATCCTCAGATATCTGCGAGGTACTACAAACAAAACACTTTGTTTCAAAGGTGGAGATACGATTTTGACAGGCTATGTAGATGCTGACTTAGCCGGAAATGTTGACATCAGAAAGAGCACTACAGGGTATGTCTATACTCAGGAAGGTACTGCAGTGAGTCGGGTTTCTAAACTACAGAAGATAGTTGCTCTCTCCACAACTAAAACAAAATATGTCGCTGTTATAGAAGCCAGCAAGGAGATGGTTTGGCTCCAAAGTTTCTTGGAAGAGTTAGGCAAGAAACAAGATAACAATGTTTTGTATTGCGACAGTCAAAGTGCTATACATCTAGCAAAGAATCCGTCTTTTCATTCCAGAACGAAGCACATACAATTGAGATATCATTTTATCCGGTCTCTTCTGGAAGATAGGATTTTGAAACTTGAAAAGATCAGTGGAGCTCAAAATCCTGCAGACACGTTGACAAAGACGGTGACTACGGACAAACTGAAATTGTGTTAAGCTTCAGTTGGCATGCTAGAATAACAGGACCAGAAATACTGTTGCATTGATCGAGGTGTGAAGACAGATTAAAACCAGTCTTCAAGTAAGAGATTGTTGAAAGTTAATAAATGAAAAGTCAAGAAAAGGGGGATACACAGTCAAAAAGGGGGGCTGTACCGAAAGTGCACATATATTGTCAAATTTCGATGCAGCAATTGCTTAATTTTGAAACGGGTAAAATCATACAATTAGTCATTATACTTTAGGATATTTATAAAATTAGTCCTTAAGCTTCAACTATAAATACCCTAACCCATTTAGCTTCAAAATCATCCCAAAATCATTTTCTTTCTTTCAATACTAGAGAGCTTTCTTTTGAGTAATGAGTGTTTTGTAAACACCTGTAAATTTTCTCTCTTAGTAAAAGATCTGCAGCAGTCCGGAGACGTAAGCGAAATTGGCTGAACTCCGTTATCAATTTCGGGTATTATTTTTCCGCTTTTATTTCGCATTCTCACTAACCTGGTTATAGGGAAATTACTTGCTACTCATTTATTTCCCAACATTTTGTTACCCGAGTTAATGGAGGACTTACAGCACAGATTATACCAAGTAAGGTTTGCGGCAAGGGGACACTTTATCGTCTTTTTGTTTTTATTTATAACGCAAGGCTTGTTGGCTTTGTTCCACAATGCCCAAACTACAGGTGCTATCAAGGGAATTCATGCTTCCCGAAATGGACCCCGCGTCTTCCATCTATTGTTTGTTGATTATAGTTTAGTTTTTCTCAAAAATTCGGTTGCTGAAGCCAATTGTGTCAAGGAGTTACTAGGTGTGTATACTGAATCAACAGGCCAACGGATTAATTTATCCAAATCAGTCATCTATTTTAGCCCGACTACTATTGATGAACATAGAGTGCAGATGTCAAATATATTTGGCTATTAGGTGGTTGATTTGCTTGGACATTACCTTGGTCTGCCTCTATACATTGGGAAGAGTAAGACCCGAACATTCAGTTACCTTCGCGACAAGGCATTGACTAGGGTTACTGGGTGGAATAAATGTTTGCTCTCCTATGGGGGTAGGGAGATATTCCTTAAGGCAGTGGCCCAAACTTTACCTTAGTACGCTATGTCGTGTTATATGTTGCCAAAACACCTATTAAATGAAATCACTAGGATCATGCGATGTTTTTGGTGGACTGGAAAAAATTTCGAACGAGGTTGGCCACTTCTAGCATGGCATACTATCTGCACACCTAAGCGTGGGGGGATTGGGGTTTCCGTAACCTTCGTTCTTTCAATTTAGCTATGCTTGGGAAGTAGATTTGGCTGCTTATTCAAGCTCCGAACATGCTGTTTGCCCCTAGTATTACGTGCTAAGTACTATCATAATGGGGATATCTTTAATGCTAAAGTGGGCGATAGAAGCTCTTATGCATGGAAAGGCTTTTCTAGGATAATACAGGCTTTGTCTAGTGCGTTCTATTGGTGGGTTGGGTGTAATAGCTTTACAGCGGTGTTTAAGGCCAATTTGGGTGGCACCAAACGGGTCTCTTTTACAGGTACCTACACCAACAATGAGGAGTCCACCCTACGCTGTGGAGATTTCATGCTTAGGGATCAACCACAATGGGATAGAGACAAGGTAACAAATTTCTTTGATGCATGAGATATCGAGGCGATTCTTCAGGTTCTAATTGCATCTTGTGTAGAGGATTGTCTCGTCTGGGGAAATTATGACTCTGGATTTTACTCGGTTCGGTCAGCTTATTGGTGGCTCCAACACTCGACTCGCACTCAACCAAAGGTGACAAAACTTTAGAATACTATGGCCAAGCTGAAGGTTTTACCCAAGGTCCGCATCTTCGCCTGGCGATTGGCCCATAATGCTCTCTTGGTTGGTGCACGTGTGCGAGTAGTTGGAATCGGAGATGGAATGTATCCCAGTTGCTAGAACATTGTGAAAACTACTTTACATGTTATGCGGAATTGCATCGTTGCTCGGGAGGTACTTCAACTCGCTGATATCCCAGGTATGCTTATTAATGATAATTGTGATTCTGCTTTTCTATGGTTGGAATTTTCCCTTATTACACTTGGTCTGGAGAATTTTGCAGGATTATTGATGATTCTCTGGAATATCTGGAATGGGAGGAACTCAGTAGTCCATGAAGGTAGAGTACAGCCTTCTTGGATCTTGGTAGGCAATGATTGTCTTCTCCAGAACGAGTTTCTGGCAGCTTATTGAGCTAACGGTGATCAGCGTTCTCGGCATGCCGACTTGGAGCATTGGTCGCTCCCGCCTGATGGCACCGTAAATATAAATGCGAATGGTTCTTATGATCCTACTACCCGACGAGTAGTGATTGGGGTGGTTGCCCGTATTCCCACGGCGTAGTTCTTGGCGGGCTAGATAGCCGCTACCTTTTTTGGTTGCTTTGATGCAGTCCTTGCGGAAGTCTTTGGTCTCGCCGCAACAGTTAATTTAATAGTTGAGAAAGAGTGGTCATCTGTCATTTTTTAGCTCAATTCCTCGGTCGTGGTTAACAAATTCAATAGGGTCGATGCGGATGTTTCCACGCTTGGAGTTCCCATGGGGCCGATTCGTGCTAAATGTACTAATTTTTCCCATTGTTCTGTTGTGTATATAAATCATACAGCGAACGCAGTGGCGCATACGCTTGCTACGACAACTCTACGATCCAATGTGTCTTAATATTTTGACTCGGATTAGCTAGAGTTTATCATACCGGATGTAACGAACGATATGTTTCCTATATGATCAATGGATTCATGGATTCATGGGTACTCTTTTCCCCTTATAGGATCCCAACATCACGTTGGTAGAAGGAATTTTTAATGAGGCCTTTAATTTAAAAAAAATATATGTTGTTAAAAGTTTTTATATTTTACTAACTTGGAAAATTTATTTTAATTTTTTAAAATTAATTGAGATGGTTTTTGCTTGTAGAAGTTATGTTTTCTAGGTTTAAAGCGAAAAATCAGTTTGGTTCTCATAAAGATTAATCCGTATAATTACAATAACTAAAGGATCAATCCGTTATAAAAATGATTAATTCATTTTCTGGAAACACTAAGAAAGCAATCCGTTCCCTGACTGAATACAATCAAACTCTTGAAAAAAGATATTGATCTATTTCATAAAAGAAATGATCTCTCATACCATAAATACAAGATTAATAAATCTATATACAAATTATTTATCATTTTATGTGCGGCGGATGAATAATTTTTTAATTGTGATCTAAATACAAATTTCTTTTGAATGTGGGTTTCACAAGAAAGAAGAATCCTTGTAAAGGATTAAATAGGGATACCTAACGTTCTGTCCCTAACCTGGCCAAGTTTTTCCAACTTAATCCCATAACACTTTCTTCTATCCACATTACCTCTTAAACTTCGAAACTTCCCCGACTTAATCCCTGTTTTTATTCTTGATGTCCTGATATGACACAATAATTTGTGAGTTTAAATGGCAACATAAGGTCTATAACACTGACCAAGGGTTGCCATGATTATGCCTTACAAGTAATCGACGCCATACTTTTCCATACAAATTTTCCATCAAGTTGTAGCGGGGAAAAATATATTCATATTTGACCTTCATCACGAGTTCATGTATCAAAACTTATGTCAACTCAGTTTAAAGACACTGAAAATATACTCATATCGGACACTCACCACAAGACCAGATACCAAAACTAATATCACACAGGTGGGTTGAGTTTGCTGCAAATAATCAAACAGTTCTGGAAAATGTATAATAAATGCATAAACAAACATAACTACTAAATTAACTTGAAAGGAATTTCACTCCTTAATATTTGTTTTAATTACTAGACTTTAAACCCTAAAACAAACCAAAGCTCATGCAGTTCCTAGGTTGTTTAAACACAGTACCACAAACTTTGACATGCACAACCAACCTTGAGCACCTGACCCTTGGAGTAGGAAAAGCAAAGGGGCACCAAAGTGTCGAGGGTTTAATACACAATCAGGGCACAACCACTAAAATCTTTGTATGAACTAAGATACAAGACGTGCAATATATACACGTACATTTTGCATGTGTCCATATGTGTGTATAGTCGATGTATGCTGTCAAACGATCAAATATTGAATTAATGTGTGTTGTCGAAGACTCAATTATTGAGAAGTAGAGAGTTTGATATTATCCCTTTCTTACTAGTAAAAAGTACAATTAATGAAGAAAGATCAACTAAAATAAATTAAAAAGAACTTCAATCAGGCCCGATTTGTTTATGCATTGTGCCTAGGTGCACAAAGTGTATGCCTGATCAAATGCAAATTGCCTAGAGAGGTTTGAGACACTTTTGTTATCAGAAGCTAAGTTGCAATGCCTACGCACGTATGCTTTGACAAAATTGGGACAACATGCATGGGATGGGATCCTCACTTTTGACCATTACCGACTGAGAAACAAGGCAGAAAACATGACAATTGTAACCCATACACAACATCACATCCAGCTATGAAGTTACAGCACATAAAATGCAATAAGGAACTCAAATTATGTTCGGCTGATAGTCGAATATCAATCATTAACTTGGTGTTCTTCAACTAGTTCCACTCACATTTCATTTCTTTCTTAATTTCTACAAAGTTTCACCTTCAATCATGCCTAAAAAGGGTTTCATGTATACAAGAACATCTAAGAAAAGTTACTAATATGGAATCTTTGCCCCTACCACAACAAGCATATAACCAACAATACATAAAATTACCCAGATGACGGACGAGTGTTGCATACAAGTATATGTCTCAATCATTTTTAAAGTGTGTCAATATGCTTGGAGATCATTCCGAAGTCCGAATATGTGTGTTATCAGACAAAGTAAATGAAAAATTAGAGAGTCCAGTGACAAAGAACATAATCAACTAACATAAGAAATTCCTAATTACCATTTATCACAATTAAGTAGAAATGAACAAAGAGAAAACACATGTTTGATCGAATACCGATCTTTTAATCTCGAACAAAGAAACTTAAGAAAACTTAAGAAAATCATTAAACGTCAGACACTCGATATCAATTTTAATTTCTTCAAAACCTAATATCAATATTTTTCCCAATATTTATCCTACCACCATCAAAATTTTTGATTTAACGAAATATAAAGTCACAGAAGAGAAGATTTCAGCTTTTCTTTTTCGTTTTTTAAATTGGGACATATCTCTTCAAGACTTGCTTCCCGGCAACCGCGGCTCCAGCTGCCAACCCGCCAAGCGCACCGGCAACCGCAGCAGACCTCACCCCTCTTGCAGCCCGACAAACAGCTCCAGTTGCAAGACCCGCCGCCACGCTACTCCAGACATCATCACGGTCAGTCACCGCCACGACCCCACTTTCCATCCCCGCATAAATCAAGCCCACAATACCGATTCTATTCCCCCATGATCGACCCGCATGACCCGAACTATTCAAGATCCGATTGATCTTGAGTTTCAAAGTATCGCCTTGCTCGAAATTCCTGAGAGCCGAGAAAAGCCCGACGGCTGCGCCGGATACAGAGCCGCCTAAATAAGCTGATCCGGTATAAAAGGTCAGATTTTCGCCCCAGGAACGGCGCTGGTGGAGGGATTCCTCGGCGAAGAGGAACTCCGGGGAGGTTGGGAGCTTGTAAAGGTTGTTTATGGGAACCTGGAGGTTCAGGTCTTGGTATGGATTGTAGAGGCGGGTGTTTGGTTCCGATTCAGGGTCGGAGCGGCCGTTATGAGCCATAGGTGTTTGGTTCAAGTTAGGGTTTGGTTTTATGCGAGAAAACGGAGAGGCAACTTTCGATGTTGCAAACAGAATGAAGAATTCTACGTAGGTCATGTGCTTTGACTTTTTATATAACATATTTGTGGGTTGAACCGGGAAGCCGGTTCAGCAACACTTGCTTTTCTTAATAAATTTTCAAAAGCTAAAATTGTATTATTAGTCTCAATAATACAATTTTAGATTTATATAAACTTAATTAGATTCATAATCATATTTAATAATATAACCCAATAATCTCTCAAAGTATTATTTAACCAATTAATATTTTTCTTGAATTCATCTCTAATCATACTTCTTTTAGATATAAGATAAATATATAAAATAATATTTATTCAAAAAATCTTAATTACTTTACAATAGATACTCGTATCTCTACATACGAATGTTCGAGTCTAGAATCATAAAAAATAATAACAATCGTTTGCCCACCAAAATTACTTGATTAGCACTCTACTATCATATTTAAATTCATCTAAAACCAAAAATAATAACAATCGTTTGCCCACCAAAAATAATATTGGTGTGGGTGGGTTTATGACTTTTCAGAGGGAGACACGTGTCCCTCCTCAAAGAGACTATTCATAGTGTTGTCATTGTAAAAGAGTAATCAAGAGACTAATAAATTTTTCCTTATGATTATTGATCGCATCTACAACCATCTTAATCAATTATGAAAAGAATATTCAAGACATTCATCAATTAAAAAAGATGATATTTATAAAAAGTTTAAGAATATATATATATATATATATATATATATATAAAATAATTTTAGTGGTCGAAAATATTTTATAATATACGATTTTAACTAATTTTTTTTGGATTTGCGAAAATGACCAACAAATTCGCAACGTGAACTCCAATTTCGCAACTCAGTTTCTGCAATCGAAACGCGAATTTCTTTCTCGCAACGTGATTTTCGAAATTCGCAACTCGATTTCTGAATTCGCAACGCGAATTTCTTTTTCGCAACCCAAGTTTTCTTTTCGCAACAAAATTTTCTAAATCGCAATACGAATTTTGTTTTCTTAACTCGATTTTCGAATTCGCAACACGAATTTTAATTTCGCAACAGCTTTTATTTTCGCAACACAAATTTTTTGGGTATATAAACTACGTACCAGCAACTCATAACCTAAATCCCTAAATCGCAACTCATTACATCTCCATCTATCACTCTCTCCGGCGACATCTGTTCCTATATCCAACGACATCCTTCCCCATCTCTAATTTTTTTTACATAATTTTATTTCTATATAATTTTTCAATGATTTCTCTCCCAAATTATCAACTATCAACTATCAACTTAATAAAGGTATGTTTTTCTCTAAGTTAGTGATGATATCTAGTTTATAGCTCGTTTGTTTAGTAAATTAATTTACAATTTGTATAATGAAATCATCTAATGTTGATCATGTTTGGATAGATTTGTGTTTTGAAGGGTCATGGGAGAATGTTCATGGTATTTTACATTATATGCCTTTACCCATGAATCTTCAACTAAAACTGTCATTAAAAAAACTAACTTATGAAACTCTAATGTTACGTGTTGCAAAGAAATTGAATTTAGAGCATCTAAGTGGATTTAGGTTATCTTATCAGAGAAAATGTAAAGTTTATTTTTTAACCGACAATGAAGATGTTGAACGATTTATTGCTTACATTAGTGTTTCGCAAGAAGATGATGTTACATTGTATGTTGTTGAACCTATAAGTAGTGAAATTGGGTCAGTAGAGGGTAGTAATCAACTAAGTTCTTCAACCCCAGTTTATGGTGCTCACAATGTACAACGTTGTTATCAACCTCAAAATTTAATGATTCCACCACAATTTCATCACCAAGAAAATTTTGTTTCACCACATTTCCAATACCAAAAACAATATCAAACACAAACTCAAAACCCACAACCTTTCCCTAATCCAAACCCCAATCAACTTTCAACACCAAATTCCGGTTTTCGTATTGATTAGTTAGACGATGATGAGCCAACAAAAAAAATTGTGAGTACTAGTTAGTATTCGAAATTTGATCTTGGTCAATACCCGGACTTTGATCTTGTTAAATACTCGGATTTTGATGATGTTTCAGAAGAAGAAATAAACTCTGCGTGTAATGATTTTGACATTGGTCAATACCCGAATTTTGATGATGAAACATCCACTGTCGAGGAAGATATTGTTGATGATAATGAGGAGGAAGTTACGACTGTAAATGAACATATTGAACATCCATTCTGTAATTCATATAACCCTGAAGAATAAGAAGTCCCCGAAGAAAAGAAAAAGAAGAAAATGCAACAGGAGTATAACTGGAATATGGCAGAATTACTTCAGATACCGAAAGAAGAGTTGGTAAAGATATCAGTTGATTGTTACATAAAAGTTATTCGTATCAAGAAAGATGATTGTTTTGATACAAATAAAAACATGAAGATAGCTTTGTATACGAAATGTGTGGAAGATGATTATCAACTAAAAGTTAATAAATCAAGCAAAGATCGTTTTGAAACAAAGTGTATGATTGACAAAAACTGTACATGGTGTATGATTGCAAAGAGGATAAAAGATTGCAAAATGTTTCAAGTTAGGACTTTTATTGATAAACATACATGTTCAAGAACCCAAGTTTTCCCTCACCATAGACATGCAAACAAAAAGGTGTTGGGTAGTTTTCTGGTTGAGTTAATGTTTTTGAATGATAGGGTATATCAGGGACGTGAAATTATGACTGATATGTATGCTCGGTTCAATATTAGTATCTCATATTCTCAAGCTTGGAGAGCCAAATGTTATGCCTTGGAATTATTGAGGGAGTCGCCAGAAGCATTGTTTGCCCAACTGTCGGCTTATTGTCATAATTTAAAGCTGAAAAATCATGGGTTGGTAACTCATATCAAAACAGATAGAGATTGACGCTTTGAGTTGTTGTTTATCGCCATTGGTGTTGCGGTTAGTAAATCAATATAATTTTGTTGACTCATTTTTTGTTAGTTACATGCATTTCACATTTAAATGATAATATTTCTTGTGTATATTATTTTATAGATTCGTTCGTTTATTACTTGCATGCGCCCAGTTATTATAGTTGACGGAGCACATTTGAAAGGTTGATACCTTGGAGTAAACTTATTAGCAGTAGCCATTGATGATAATAATGTGATACTGCCAATAGCTTACGGGGTTGGCAAATCTAAAACCTCTGATTCATGGACATGGTTTATGGAGTATCTTAGGGATTGCATAGGTCTTATTACCAATCTGACAATCATATCCGATAGGGCAAACTCAATTGACAACGCTGTTAGAAGGTGTTTCCCATATGCTTTTCATGGACTTTATGGTGTTCATTTGTACATAAATCTAAAATCAAGGTCTGCTGGTATAAAAAATAACAAATTGACATATTGGAAGGCTGTAAAATCTTATCGAGAAGTGGATTTTAATAAGCATATAAATTGTTTAAGACTTGTTTTGCCTCAATGTGCTCAAACACTAGAAGATGTCGGGTTTGAAAGATGGTTAAGAGTACATCAACTTGGAGCAAGATATGGTTTCATGATGTCTAATAGTGCAGAATCAATCAACGCTCTAAGTCGTCATTCCCGAAAATTACCCATTACTATGTTAATAGAGTTTTTCGAGCCTCTATTCAACAGTGGTACTACAAGAAAAGAAACCATGTAGGTATTATTTCTTTAAATTTGTAACTTATTATATTTAATATATTTTACTAAGTATTATTTATTTAAATTTACAGGAACATTGGAACGGCGTGTTACACTATGGACTGAAAAAAAGATAACGAAACATGTTGTGAAGTCAACGTCATGGAGAGTTGAACCATGTTCAAACACTTTGATTGAAGTATTGGATAATAACTTAAATGGACTTGTCGATCTAAATGCAAAGACATGTAGTTGTATGAAATGGCAAACATCTGGTTATCCGTGTGGCCATGTTATAAAAGTTATTCTTCATCTAAACAAAGATTATTCAAACGCATACGCTATGGATTGTTATACTACAGAAATATATCGATAGACTTATGCCGAGATTGTCTACCTTATTCTACATCATTCTGAGTGGGACATACCAGATGACTTACAAACAGTTTTGCCACCAGTCATGGACAGTATGCTACCTGGCCGACCAAAAAATCATGATCGTATACCGTCTAAGGGTGAAGAGAAGATGATATCGACATGTAGTCGGTGCAAGGAAAGTGGATATACAAGGTTGACCTGTGGATCACCAGTGCCATCACAATCATCTTTTATTCTACCAAAATATGGATCCTCATCAAAATCCAAAGCTCATATGGTGCCAAGCAAAAGGAAATCAAAATCGTAATCAAAATCACTATCACAACCGGCTTCACCTTTTGGGGCTTATTAACTTAGGTGATTTTTAAATGCAAACATTGTATTATGTGTAATTTATGTGTGAATGCATACATTTTCAGTTAGACATACATTAGTAACTTTAGTTTGAACATTTCTATGATCTGTTCAGTTGTTATCACTTATCAGATTATTTTTTGTTATATTTTTGAAGGTGTTTTCCTTGAATTCGCAACGCGAAAGTCAAATTCGCGTTGCGATTGTTGCGAAAGTGTACTGTCAACAGGTCTTTTTTGCCTTCAACATAATATAGATTGAAATTAAACAACAAATCAATTAAACAAAAAACAATTCTTATTTACACTTGACAACACATTGATACAATTAGCCCCAGACAGTACATCCAAATGCTCCTAACAATAGGGAGCTTACATCCAAATACATCAATTTTACACAGCTCACTTCAGGATTAACCTGCATAAACGTTATGGCCATGAGATTTTCTACACATCTAAAACCAACAAACATCAAATTATTGAATTATAGGTACTTAACCAAACATTTTCAAACCAACAAAGAGTATATATGTTAACAACACTTGCTTAAACTTACTAATAACACATGGTTGTTTATGCACACTTTCAACACACAGATGTAGGTAGGCAACGTCTAACATATATCTCTCTAGCCATAAAATGTCGAAACCACAACCCTACTGCACCTCTATCTCTATTTGTGAGAGGTAGAAACTGTTTACCTCCTGTCGTCATTCGTTCCAAGCACATGCATACAAGAGGACTACAATCCCCTCTGGCTCCCGCTGTTTGTTGTGGCGCTGTCTCATCTCTCATCATTGTAATTTTTAACTTATTTGGCTTCTTATTTCCTGAATTAGTCCAATAATCAATCGCATCCAAGTATTTAGCCAAATGAGCGCTTCATCCCCTACAAATACTATCTTTCAAATCAGACAATGGTATATAATTCAACATGTTGTCATATACTATCGCCTTCAGGGATGGGAGCTGAAGCACGAAGAGAAGCCAATGACGACGTTTCATAACAGGGATAAACACCTACAATCATAAATAATAATTCAATTGCACACATCAAATAAAATTTATGAACACTTTTAAATATGCAAAAATAAATACTACACTTATCGACCTCCCACCACGCAGGATAAAGGATAGCTTTTCCATTACCCAACGCATATGAAGCGTCTCTCTGATCCTTCAAGTGAGTTGCGTGAAAAGACGAAGGCATAATAGTTCATCGTGTCTTTTTTATTTTCTTCAATTTCCTTATAATCAGAAGACGTGACACCCATGCATCAATATGTTGTTTTATAAAAAAATACATATATTAGTGAATTTAATAAATTTAAAAAAAAAATAATCAAAGTGCAATATAAGAAGAATATAAGATTTACCCCCCATTCGAAATAGGCATTCTCTTCAACCCCTAATAAAACACCCCACCAAGACCGCTCAAGAAACAAATGCATATTATCGTCGATTTTGCATATGTCAGCGTAGCACCCCTGGCTCCGCTCATATAGATAAAAATCAATTGCGGTCTTAGCCCAAAGGGTATTATCCATAATTGTGTCTGGTAGTGTTCTCTTCTCCTGCTGAGGAATGGTACTGGCCGGTAATTGATAAGAAAACCAACTCTGATCCATCATACCGGGCACGAGAGGGGGTTTATCAATATGTCGACATAGTATGTCATGTGAATCGAGCTCTTGAACAGTGGGAGGGGCCTCTTGAACGATGAGAGGGGCCTCTTGAACGATGGGAGGGGCCTCTTGAACGATAGGAGTGGCCTCTTGAACGATGACAGATGAATCGGGCTTCTTCTTACGCATTCTTGGAACTATTGGGGTGAAAAGAGACGTAATGGCACGTGCACGACGTCTGATGCGTGAACCCCGTCGTGCAAGAAAAATCCGACGTAAAGCATTTATCTTATCGGGTCGCTAAAATTAAATTAATACATAAATCAGTAAATAAATAAATAAATAATGTCGAAAAAAGGTTATTTGCATTTTTAGTATATTATTAAATAAATTTACCTCATTGCGTAGAGTATGAACCTCATTCTGCAACTATAAAACAATATCACTTAAAGCGGCTACCTCATCACGTAAAGTAGATACCTCACCACGTAGAGCATCATTGTCATCGCGTAAAACATCTACCTCACCACGTAAAGACCGTACCTCATCATGCCATGCACCATTGTCATCACGTAAAGTACCGACCTCGTCACGCAAAGCACTAACCTCATCACGTAACTCCCCTAACTCATCCTGTGGAGGTGGAGAACAGGAAGATAAGTGTCGTGGCATCTTTGTCGGTCGCCTATCATGAGGTGATGGTGGAGAAGAGGCTCGATGATGTGATGGAATAGGTGATGGCTCTCGGTGTGGAGGTGTATAATCGACCCGATCAGGTGATGGCTCTCAATTTCGAGCTGTAGAATCGGCTCGATCAGGTGATGGCTCTCGAAGTAGGGGTGCTCATCATCCATCCCATAAAAAAAACGCTTACTAGTTTACCACCAATCAGTGGCAAGCTCAGCCTCTATGGGTGTCAGCCTCTGTAATGGATAGTTTGCCTCCTAACAATATAAAAGCTAAAACAAAGTCAAACGTCTACTAGTAATAACTTGTTTATATTTGGTAGTATTTGTGTTAACTTACATCATTCATCGTCGTATATGGTAGTAAATCTTCCCAATTCAACAACCAGATCCTCTTCCAGGTAATAGCTCTAGGAATATCATTTGACTTTTTGATGGCATATGTCCACATGCTGAGAAAAGCCTCAAATATCCAAATCTACAAACAATAATACACAAACATTAATTTTAGTAATTGTTAAATAATTAATTATAATTTTGAAAACATTATATAGAAATTCTTACCTTAAAGGCCCAAATAAAGCCTACCAAAGTGTATTTGGAACCATGGCCATGCAAACTACGACGGTTCTCAAAGGCAGACGATAACTTTTTTCAGGTAGCTTTCCATAGATATGAACCTCATGGAAACCCGTTCCATGCATCTAGATCCTCTACCAATAATATTAAATACTCAGAAATAGGTTGTCTGCCCTCTTTGCCTAAAAAGTCGGCATTCAAAAGTAATAAAAGGCATACTCGGAACATCAAGGTCATCCATCCGAGTAAAACCATCTTTAAGAAGTAATCTTTTCAAATCGTCGACGTGTAAACTTGGCTTCGCCTTTGCCAGCTCAGAAAAAACCCAAAATAACCATGATAGGCAGGCGATATGACTAGTGTACTGACCTATTTCATCATGTCGTCCGAAACGTAGACCAGTGATTAAGCAAAACTCCTCCCGCCCAAAACAAGTATACGCCGGTGGAAAATTAAACCATATCTCTTCATCACAACGTTGTATCCTCTCAGGTAGATCGTTAGTCATGGTCTGAAAAAACAAATGGGTCAACATAACATCTCCACCTGGATGTTGTACTTTCAGCCATGGCCCGAAACAAGTTTTCTCAAACAAATTTCTTTGTACAAGTGTAAGTGTCGACGCAATTGTAGTGGCTATACTTAATTTATTCCTTAAAGTCAATGAAGCCTAAAAAAATTCCTAACAAAAACAATAAACATACCAAGTTAGATATACCAAAAACTACAAATTATACACTATAAACAGACATGATATTAAACAGGGAAAATATAGTCAAATATGTTTCAAACTAGCACTGTATTCACCCAAGTCATTATTCTATCATAGTTCACAAAATGCACCAGATAACATTTCAGAAGTAAGCAATTATATAAATATTTAAATGGACAACATATAGGTTTAGTGCAAGTTCAAGGACAATATAAATAATAGTAGTTTATTTTTGAAACTTAAATTCGCAACACTGTGAAGTTAGTATATGTATTTGTTTTTTGGTTGAAGTAATGTAATTCATTCAAGTTTCAATTTGCAGAAGAATAGTAGTTTTTCAAACTTAAATTCGAAATGCGAAAATGAACGTGATTTTCTTGTTGCGAATTTAAATTTCAAAAACTATTATTCTGCAAATTGAACTTGAATGAATTGCATTACTTCAACCAAAAGACAAATACTAACTTCATAGGGTTAAAGACTAAATAGTTTAGCAGTATTGGCAGTAACCGAATGAATTTACTAAGCAATCTAAGTGAAATGGTTAATCTATATATTAAAATTACCAGTAAATTTATCATCAATTTAAATATGAAAAATCTAATATTAATACAAAATTTTCAAAATAAAAATAATTAAAAAAACTAACCATCGGTGGTTGATTTTTAATTTGTGGTCGTGAATGGTTGTGAGGGTGGATCTGAGAGATGAAGATAGAGGGGGGTCGTCGGATATATGGACGGATGTCGTCGGAGATGGGGATGGATGTCGCTGTAGAGAGTGAGAGATGGAAGTGAGACTGAGTTGTGATTTAGGGTTTTAGGTTATGAGTTGCGATTATACTGTTTACATTTGTATTACGAAATTAATATTGTGTTTCGAATTCGAAAATAAAATTCACCTTGCGAAAATAAACGCGCTTTGCGAATTTGACTTCTGCGTTGCGAATTATAAATTCGCGTTGCGATTTACATATTCGTATTGCAGAAAAGAAATTAGAGTTGCGAATTTTAAAATTGAGTTGCGAAATTGGAGTTCGCGTTATAAATTTGATGGTCATTTTCACAAATTAAAAAAAATTAATTAAAATCGTATATTATAAAATATTTTCGGCCACTGAAATTATTTTCTTTTATATATATATATATATATATATATATATATATATATATATATATATATATATATATATTATTGTTTTTAGCATCTATTTTTCATTTAACTAATTAACGAGGAAAGATCAATAAAGACCCACTGATAAATGCAAAGAAAATTACTTGTCAACCTCACTTTGATTTGCTTTGCTTTGCTTTGCTTTTTCTCTTCTGTAAAATTACGTTTCTTCTCCTCACTCTCTCGCTTTGGTACACAGGTAAGCAAGTTTCACTACTCCTCTTTTTTCTTGCAACACTTTACTGTTTTGTAATGGATTTGCTCTGATTTTTATATATTTTCATTGCCAAATCACTAAGTGTAGAATGATTGTTTTGCCATGTATCTTGGCGGGCCTTTTAGGGTTTTGGGATTTAAGTTTTTATAGAAACTAAGGCTTGAGCTTTGGTGGGATTATTGGTTAATGGGGCGTTATTTTGAGGGATTCCACGATTCTTTTCTAAGGTCAGTGTTGATAAAATAAAATTGATTTTACCAAATTAAATTCCTCTTTCATTCTTTGCTTTTAACGGAGAGTTCAGTTTATTGAATATTCCATAGGTGATGGATTGGTTGAGTTTTTCTTGAAATTTGGTTTTGTGATATTCTTCTTTTAGTGGATTAGAACCATGTATTAGCAGTATTATAGTTAAAATTCAATAATCAGTACCGGGATATGAGCATCTTTATGAAATGAATCCTTTCAAATGGCTATTGTAGCTGCTAATATGGTTCGGTCTTCTCTTCTTCATGACAGAGAGAGGAGCTGAAGCCAACGACTAAAGTTAGAGTTGGATACATGCATGGATCAAGGTGCTAATCGTATTTCCCCCCCCCCCCCCTTCCATCTACATATAACTGTTCAGTGTTTTGCCAAAAAATCCTTATTAGCTGTAATATTTTATCATTCACCGAGCTATGCCGTCTCTGTTTTTTTGTGTTAGGTATGCTCATTCACAAATTAATCAACTTTCAAGTAGGACTGTAAGTGTTTAGTTTAGCGTAGGGCTTTTATTATTTAAAGGAATTTTATATTTTGTTAGAGATGTTACTCTAAATAAAACTTTACTTCAGAGATTTCTTCAAGTATACTTTGGATGTAGATATGAGTTTAAATATTTTTGGCTGTGAGTCTTCACTTTACGTGGTTTAGTGATTCTTTCTATCGTCCCATTATTTATGTTATTAGTACAAGTTATATAGGGGTGTGGTAGGGAGCCGTCCAATTATAGTTGTTTCTAATTATAAATTGATTAGAGGTGACTTGGGGCAAAATTATCTGATTATTGTTGTTAGTCAATGATTGTTTAGAGGTGTAGGATAATGTAGGATAAAATATCTTTCTTTCTGTTTACATTAAAAACATGCTTTCTTGCCGATTGGCTAAGCTTGGGGATTTGGGGTTTTCTCTGGTATTGGGTTCTACATCACTAATATTTGCTAATCCGGACCATATCCCTTAAGTACTTTGGCCCTTGAGTTGCAAATCAGAAGCTTATTTACTTTGATACTTGAAGGTTAAAAATCTCAGTAGTCTATTTTATTTGTACTAAATTGTGAAATTCAACAAAATATGAAATCTACTGCATGAAACAGCAATTTACGTTTAGTCAAGTATTTTCCATTCCTACTTTTCAAAGGAGCATCTAACAAAAGTTATTCATGATTTCAAGAGATGTAACAGTTGGATCTGTGGACATATATCATAAAAGTTATTGTCTTGGTCATGCAATATTATGAACCCGTTTATTGCATGCATCTGAATGTTAACCAATTTATGAGCACGGTTAGCTAAACAATATTGCAGCTTACATTAAACCTTGAGGATGCGTGTCAGGTTCAAAATAGTTTCGGTTCTGCATCTCACCCTAACTTCAAGTTTAAATCGTGAACGTCTGTTGTGTTTCATATTGACATCTTGTAATGAAATTAAATAATCAATGCCTTGAACTCAAATACTCAAGTTGGATTTTATTGAAGAACAAGAAAATTACAGCTGTAGAGAAGATAAGGGGAAAATAGGGGAGAAGAATAGAAGAGAGAATTAGAAATAGGGAGAGGGTAACAGATTGTAACAACTTTTTCATGATTTCCTTCTATTCTATACCGCCTTTAACAGCAAGCTACCATAACCAACAAGGCCTTGGGATGCCTCTTCTCACGTGTATCTTCCTCACCACCTGCTGGCTGCTGTTGACTTGGCAATGGTTGATGTGTGTGCTGAGTTGGCATTGGCTGCTCCTGGGTCATAAAACATCTCCATTGTGACAATATATGTTTTCAATTTAGCTTCTTTCAGTTAAATTGATTGTTACCACCTCAAATTTTTTGCTTTTGAACAAGGAGAACATAGTTTTATTCACCGTCTTTATACATGATTAATTTTATTCTTAATTGGTGCATTTCATATGTTGCTGCAACTTCTTTTAAGTAAAAGGGTGATGGGTTGGTTCAATTTTTCATGAAACTTTGTTTTTATAGCATTCTTCTTTTGGGGAGTTAGAACCAGGTATTAGCAGGTTCATAGGTCAAAAGCAGCATTCAGTATCAGAGATTTAGAATTTTTCTTGTAATGAAACCTTTCTAATTATTTTTGTAGCTGCTAATATTGTAGTTCCTTACTCTGTTAACAACAGATCAGGTCCTTCAAAGGCAGAGTGAAGTAGCAGAGGCCACCGACTGTTAGACTTGGATTTTCTGAATACATGGACCAGAGTACTGGTCTTATTCCTTTTACAGCTTTTTTCATGCATATAACAGTTAATAAGAGCACAACAATATCATGCTTTCTAAGATTAAACAATTGGATTGGTGATCATGCATCATAAAAAGTTATTGTCCTGCTCATGCAATCTTGTGAACCTGTTTATTGCATGCATATGAGTTTGTTAATAGGAGCACTGATGGTTACCCAATATTGGAGCTTTTATTATAGCTTGAAATCTTGAATATCTGTTCAGGATCAAAATGGTTTCACTTCTTCAATTCACTCTAACTTGAAGTTCAAGCCATGATATTTGCTATGTTTCTTACTGACATCTCTGTTTGGCCAATGAATGTGTTCAATTTAGCCTCTTTGAGTATAGCTTGTGTGTGATATGTCCGTCCTAATTGTTTTCATTTGGTGAATTAGGGCATTCAACAGAATCAGTGGAACACAAAAACAGTGGATATGAACTTATTAGAGACAATGAAGACCCATGTCTGGGAATGTATGATAAACCTCTTCCTTGCTTTGGCTGTGGAATAGGATGGTTTTCGTGAGTTCTTTTGCCTTCAGTCATCCTACTCATCCAATTGTTTTGTGGACTCCTGAACTGACATATCTGCTCTTTCTTTTCTTTGTTTTGCAGTCTACTGCTAGGATTTGTTTTCCCATTAATGTGGTACTATGCTACCATTCTCTACTTCAGAAACTACTATCAAAGAGATCCCAGGGAGAGGGCTGGACTTGCTGCCTCCGCAATAGCTGTAAGTACGAACTTAGAAATTTGAGTTTCCTTGAAATACTGTCAGGACCCTTATTCGTGTCAATTTCTGAACACTTGGTGAAATGATAAAATCCAAAATGTAATTCAAGAAATTGCAAAAATTCTCTCATTGAACTTGCAGTGTTACGGTAACGAAGGATGTGCATCCCCATTATATGCCATTTATATTTGATTTGTAATTATGATCGTTACTTTTGGCAGGCACTGATATGTACAATTGCTGTAATAATCACAATATCAGTTCTCGTCTTCTAGTTGTCGCGGCTGCAGTCTGTATATTTGCAGCTACTTATGGTGCTTCCTTAAACAAAAGGTGAGACAAGAGTATTAAACCTGTAATGGGGCTAAAAAAAAGTGGGAAAGAAGCTAGAACATGTTAGGAACCTCAAGAATCTTTGAGAGTTCAGTTGTCAATGATGTATAGTCCCCTCTAGGCTTGTACAAAACAGGGAGTCTTGTGAAATAGTTACAATCACAATGAAAATATGCAATTACTGATATATGACATAACATATTTGAAATCCCTGAGGAATATGAATTACCTTTTCCTGCTTTTAGAAGAAATGTAGCTGCATTTCTGATTCATTAAGTTGCTTCAACTAGTGTTTTTAGGATACGAGAATCGATCATCGAGTTTCGCGGAAACTCGTTAATGCTAAATTATTGTGGGGGAGGGGGGGTCATTGTTTTGCCGTGATTGTGATCCTGGGATAGGGCCATGGTGTAGATGTTATTGAATATAATGGTGATTTGAGAATCTAGGGTAGCTGGTGGTCTCCACTCACCAGGAACAAAGAAAGGGTAGGTCAACAACTTTATTAGGAAGTAATTGGATTTAGATATTTATATATAAAAGTTAATAGTTTGATGGTAAATACAGATAAAGATATCAGCTTTATTCTTCACTGAGTTATAAGTGAATTAATTAATTTTATGTGATGCAAGTTGTCGGATGCTGAATTCAATTTGATTAAGGTAGGGTCATGAGTTTGACAGCAATTAATATGTCAATTATCAGAATTTATTTGCTAAATTCCTATGCTCCTCTAGTTGAAGCTGATGATATAGCAACTTTGAATTAATTGGGACAACAATCCATCGTATCGAACACGATAATGCCACCATCACTCCAACGCCCCATCTCTTGGTTACATCTCTTTACATCACAGCATGAGCAACCTACACTTTGTATCAATTATCAACAAACATTTCTCTTTTAAAATCTTGTTTTCGATTTGGCATGTATTTAAATACGAATATAAGAATATAACATGTAAACAAGATTTTACCTCATTGCATTCTTTATAGGCGTGTGTCCACATTTGATTCATATTGTTTGTCTGGACATTCATCTCGTATTGCTTGTCTCGTATGTTGAGGATATTCAACTCGTATTGTTTGTCTCGTATGTTGAGGACATTCAATGTGAAATCAGACAATCAAAAATTTCTTGTGACTCTACACTTTTGACATGATCTTGAGTTACTTAAAATTTTGTTATTTATTTTACGAACCATAAATCATGACATTTTGTAGTATCATGTGTGTGTGTCAACATGTGTATCCCTCGTTATCAATCTCTCACCTCTCGACGTCTTTCGAAACCCTTTGTCACACCCTTTTTTGTGAACGTTGATAAGTGCCATCAAATCTTTGTTTGTGTCTTTTTTCTTAACTCACCACTCTTTTGAAGAAACAATAATCAGTCACTATTGCACGTCCATGTGAGAATTCGACAATGATATATGAGATTTACGGATAAGATTTTTAGAAAATTAAGAATTTTAAGTTCTTTAAAATTTAAAAAATAAATATGTCATGCAATTATAAGATAACAAATTCTTTTTACAAACATTAACGATGAAATTAAAACGAAAAGTAAAGTATATACTTTAAAAGAATTAAATTTATAAAAGTTTAAAAAAATTATAATTTAAATATTTATTATTCCGTTAAACTAACGTATAATTTAAATATTTATTATTCCGTTAAACTAACGTATAATTATATTTTTCTTGATTATTTTATTCTAGAGAAAGAAAAAAGAAAACACATAAAAGCTTGGAAAGTGGGGGAAAGGACCCTAACAAAATGGATAACGCGTTTTGGCTACAAATTGTGAAAGCTTTTCATGGGCTGCCATTGCTGTTTGTCCATTGTCGTTTTCCTTAATTAAAACTTATGCAAACACGTCACTCTCAAAATTCAAATCTTTAATTCATATAGTTTTGGTAACATTAGTTGTCATACGCTGCCACATCTACATTTGACTCTTGTGTTTCCCACTTTGCTTTTTTAATTTTTTTTCAAACTAAATTAAAACGTGACCATTTTTACAATGGCCCCTTGATTTGTAGACTACACAATGTACTTTATTTTATAATGGAATATCAGATTATTTGGTTGGAGTAGTAAACTTGAACCATGTTATTTAATTTCATGACTTTAGTTAACGTGTTCAGGTTTAACATAGTGGGCTGCTTTGCAATTTGCATGTACCCACTACAAAGAAATATAAGTGGATAATCAAGGCTATACTAAAAATTAATACACACACATCCTACCTCGAAAAGTTATATTAAAAAAAATTAGTAATAAAAAGGTAGTAAAGAAAGATGAAAAGGTAAGTAGTGTGGCTAATTAAGGCTAAAGTTAATTGCAAGTGAGGAACACACTTTGTTCTTTGCTTTAGGCTGTCATTCTTACAAGGACAGGACATGTTACATGTGAAGGCATCCTCTATCGATATCAATATCAATAAGATACTTTTTAATTATTAATATTTAATTTATTAATTAATTAATTAAAATAATTTTTTTAAAAGATTCATTACGATGAGTGATCCTTTTATTTTAGTTTGCTTTATTTGTAAATATAATAGTAAAATATAATATTAATAGTAAAATATTTTAATGACATTTTTGAAATTTAATTTATTAATAAAAAAATAGCAACGTAACATTGTTAACAAGACTTGAATTTTCCAATTCAAAAATAAAATAATAAAATGATTAGCATGTCTTGTCAACTACTTCATCCACTAATTTATTTATATAAGCAAAAGAAATAAACAAAAGCATAACCCAAAACCAAAAGGCAAGAATCACACACAAGCAAGCGAGAAAACAAAAGTTTGCCAAAATAATCCTTAAAATCTCTCAAAATGGAGGATTTCGATGAAAATGTAACCCCATTTTGGCTCCAAACCACCGAAAACGGCCGTCTTCGCCGCCGTCAATATCTCTTCTTCAACACCGGTATCCTCGTCATCTTATTGTTAGCCGTTGCTTTCGCTTTTATCTTCGTCATCGTCCCTTCGTTTCTGTCCTTCACTTCCAAGATATTCAAGCCCCAAGTCGTTAAAAAATCATGGGATTCCCTCAACTTAGTCCTCGTGATCTTCGCCGTAATCTGCGCTTTTCTGAGCAAAAACAACGGCGGCAGCGATACCAATGAGACGCCGAGGTCTTACGGAGATTACAAATTCTCTTCGACGCCGAAACATGTTGTTGTCGATGACGATGATCGTGGCCGAAGATCGAACCCGGCTACTTCGGATCAATGGTATTATGGTCCATCGCCGCCATCAGATCGGACGGCGTATAATTCTTTGCGGAGGATGAGGAATAGCAACTCGTATCCGGATCTGCGCCAGGAATCCGCTTGGGTGGTAAACGGTGATGATCGGTGGAGATTTTATGATGATACTGGGCTGTATAATTACCGGAGTAGGTCGAGGCGAGAGCGTGATGAAGAACAACAAGTTTACTCTAGTAATTCAAAGGATATAGCTGTTGATACTGTTCGTATTACGTCGCCGCCGCAGCCAACTGCAGTTCCGCCACCTGTAGTAGCAGAAACAGAACCGTCGGATCCGCCGCAGCCTCCTAAGGTTGTTAGAAGGAAACCTAAGCGGACTTATGAAGATGTTCCACCTAGAGAGAGAGGCGAACGTAAGGAAGTTGTGTACAGTGAGTTGAAAACCAAGCATTCTCTTCCATCACCACCGCCTCCAATAGCTGAATCGGAGAAGAGAAGTAAGAAGAGTGAGAAAAAGAGGGGCGGGGTGACTAAAGAATTATTAACTTCGCTTAGAAGAAAAAAGAAGCACCAAAGGCAAAGAAGCGTGGAAAACCTTGATGAATTCTTTAACCTCGCAACGCTTCCTTTATATCCACCGCCATCACCTCCGCCGCCGCCGCCTCCACCACCACTACCGTCATTTTATAACATCTTTTCTTCCAAGAAAAACAAAGGCAGAAGGCATCATCACACAATCCCTCCACCTCCACCGCCACCACCATCACTGGAGGCGCGTGCGTCGAGAAGAGAACCCAATAAACCACCCGTAAGGATCAAGAAACCCCCATTGCCAGTCAATATAAGAAACGTCCACAATGTGGAGGAAAACATCGAAAGTGGCAATGAATCACCTTTCAATTCAATCCCTCCGCCACCGCCGCCTCCACCATTTAACATGCCGGCGTGGAAGTTCGAAGTACACGGTGATTTCGTCAGATTGAAAAGCATCAACAGCTCTCGAAGCGGGTCACCAGATTTGGATGACCCATTGAGCCGTGAAGCAAGCCCATCGGATGGGAATAAAACCGGTGACGTGGACGGCGGAGAATCGACCGTAGCAGGCACATTGTTTTGTCCAAGCCCAGATGTGAATACCAAAGCTGATAATTTCATTGCAAGGTTCAGGGCTGGTTTGAAGCTGGAGAAGATAAACTCAGTCAAAGGAAGGTCTAATCTTGGCCTTGATCCAGGCCCAAGCACTGTGTAAGAAGCAAAACTCTAAAGGCTACTATTTTCCCCCTGGAAATTTCTTTGTTTTTTTCTATAATCTTCAATCATTAGTTGATTTGTTTCATTTTCAAAGTCAGAGACCTTACAGTTGGATTACAGGATATCATTTTTTTTTCAGAAGTTGGATTATCATGTATGTATTTCTTCAAATTTTTATAGGCGATTTTTGGTGTTTTATGATTGTAATAGTCTTAAAAAATGTCACTTTTTTTTCGTTTTGTTTAAAAACACCCTATCATATAATGTGTCTTTTTTTTTCTCTCTATTTTGGATTTTGGTTGTCCTTTATTCTTTTATTAAACAATATTTTTTAGATACTTCATCGAGCAACCTAAATAGTTAAATATAGTGTTATTCTTAGTCGTATTCATGGGTTTAAATAGTTGTTTTTGCAAAATATTTAATTATTTACATTATCAATGGCTAATAAATAGATGGAAACACATCCCACCCAATTGTCATTCCTAACAACAAACGTTGGAACAAATTGTTAATTGCATAATCTAAAAAGCTGTTGAAAATATGTATATTTAATGCATTAATGATATATATATATATATACATATGAATTCGGAAAAAAGTTATCCAAGTAAACTGTCATTAAATTCAAATGGTAAATACCTCCCTTCAAAATGGACATGTCTTCTCTTCAAAGCTACAACCCTAACAAGAACGCTCTAATAAGTTCGCAAACAAATACACATTGAAATGACAACAACAACAACAATGACAAAACCACGACATGAGCGAATCTAACCATGTTTATAATAACGGGCTTAATGAATATTTATTCGAAACCTCCATTACTGACCCGAAATCTGCATTTACTTGCACCGGAGGCTTCACTGATCGGCTTAATGAGCTTTACTTAATAAATACTTCTTCAAAACATCCATTACTGACCCAAAATCAGCTCGTACTTGAACCGGAGGGTTCGCCAATCGACAGGCCATGTCCTTGTTGCCCTTCGAGTGATAATCGATCTTACTCTGTGTAAATTTCAATCCATGGGCTGTGCTCACCACCACTGTTCTATCAGTATGACCAATAACCTCACTTTTCCTCAGCTTATTCAATGCTGTCAATGCCACTCCTGTATGTGGGCAAGTAAACATTCCAGTAGAATCAGCTTCTGCCATGGCATCCATTAACTCTTCCTCCGTAACTTCCTCGACAATCCCGTTTGAATTCTTCAAAGCATACACCGCTCTATCAATGGAAACCGGATCACCGATCTGGATAGCAGAGGCAAACGTTGTTTTCGCTTTCACCGGGCTAAAATCCTTCCAACCAGACTTAAATTACAGATACAACGGATTCGCATTCGCAGCTTATGCACAAACCAACCTAGGAATCTTATCAACAAGTCCCAACTCTCAGCACATTGAAAACCCTTTGTAAAAAGCATAAATATTCCCAAGATTTCCACCGGGAACAATCACCCAATCCGGAACGCCCCAATCGAACTGCTGTAAGATCTCGATGGCAGCCGTCTTCTGTCCTTCGAGCCGCAAACTGTTGAGGGAATTCGCCAAATAAATCGGCAACTCGGCCGTTACTTCCCTGATCAACTCCATACATCCATCAAAATCGGTATCAATACTCAAAACAAACGCACCGTTGGCAATGGGTTGAACAAGTTGAGCAATGGAGATCTTATTAGCAGGTAAAAACACAATAGAAGGGATCCCAGCAGCTGCACAATAAGCAGATAAAGCAGCCGAGGTATCCCCTGTAGAAGCACAGCCAACTCCAACAATGGGTTTATTTATTTTCCTCAATTGATTAACTTGACTAACTAAAACCGTCATGCCCAGATCTTTAAAGCTACCCGTATGGCTAATCTCACAATGTTTAACCCACAAATCGCTCATCCCTAAGAACTGTTTGCCGTACCTTTCAGCCCAGAAGAGGTTAGAGTTGCCTTCAAAAGCAGAGACGATGTCATCATCGTCGATTTCGGGTAAGACCCATTCTTTCTTGGACCAGACACGGGACCCGTACGGCCACGTGGTCTTTCCGACGCGGGAGTTGAAGAGATTCCTCCAGTAAGCTCCGTCGAAGTGCTTGAGGGAGGACATGTCGTGCTGCACGTCGAGGAGGGAGCCCGATTGGGATCGGTAGACGATCTCGTCGAGGGAGTAGGATTCATCGGAGGAGGAAGGATCGGAGATGGTGGTGAAAGGGACGTACTTTGCGGTGAAGCGAGGGTGGTTGGTGGATACGGCGGCAGCGTTGTGGAGACGAGCTTCTTCCCGGACGTTGTGGTGGGCTTCGTTGACGGCGGCGGCGGAGGAGATGTTTTGGGTACGTCGGAAGTGGAGGCTTTGATGAAATGAAGCTTAGCTTTAGCTGCAATATGGGCGGAGGGCAAAAACGAAAAGGCCGCCATTATTGAGGAAATGGTTGGTGGGGGTGTTTTGGGAGATCTGAGTGGGTTTTTCTTTCACGAATTTCCGCATTTTAAATAAGGGCAACATGCATTTTAAGGCGTCCCTTAATCAATTATTTATATGTTTTTTATTAGTTTAAGATGGTTATAATTAATATTTGTTTAAAATTAATTAATTATTAATAGCGTACATATTTTGTAGACTCAAGTTTAGGATGATAATGGATCTTGGATCTAACTCGAATCTGTAAATTCATATCCTTATTATAAGATTTGGATTTTAAAATTTTCAGACCAGATCTGGATGGTCTGATTAAAGTATGAATCTGAATTTGGATCGGACAGTAAGATATCAAATCTGGACCGTTTATCTGTTTATATAAAATTTCACCTTTGATTTAAAATATATTTATAGGATGAGCTGAGGAGAGAAGCTGGGGCTTTGAAGATTCAGAAGAATTTCCGTCGACACAGAGACAGGAAATCCTTTTTAACAATGAGAAAATCTGCATTTATATTGCAGACAGGATTAAGATCGATGATTGCCCGCAATGAGTTTAGGTTCAGGAAGCAAACTAAAGCTGCCATTATCATACAGGTAAATGTAACTTGACATCTTTATCAGAACATAGAAGGAGACTGCACTCAACATTTTTTAAGTTCTACTGTTAACATTTTGATGCTTAAAAGGACATTAAATCTTTAGTTTTGATAAATGTTATAATCTGTTGGTTCTTGTGTCCTGGTTTCTGCAGGCTTACTGGCGTTGCTACCATGCTTATTTATATTATAAGAGTCATCAGAAGGCTGTATTAGTTTCACAGTGTAGTTGGAGATGCACAGTTGCTAGAAGAGAGCTCAGAAAACTCAAAATGGTTTGTCTTTTGCTGCTTAACGTTGTTTTATAACATGTCAAAATGCTAAGGCGCATTTGGTTGCCTATCCAAGCTAAACCCAATTTCTTTAATTTCTTTAGGCTGCAAGAGAAACAGGTGCTCTGAAAGCAGTCAAGGACAAGCCAGAGAAGCGGGTGGAGGAACTTACGTGGCGTTTGCAACTTGAAAAGCGATTAAGGATAGCGTAGTTATATTCTTACTTAGCAAAGCATTTTATCTTTTTGAGTCCAATATTAAATATTGGGCAGATTAATGCTCTTGTTTGGTACTTCTAATAGTCTACCAGGTCTATGCTATGCTCATTTGAACTTAAATGCAGACTGATCTTGAGGAAGCAAAACCTCAAGAAATTGCACAATTGCAAGACGTGCTGCATAAAATGCAATTACAAGTGGAAGAATTTAAATCTATGGCTATAAAGGAAAGAGAGGCAGCACGAAAAGCAATTGAAGAAGCACCTCCGGTCATCAAAGAAACCCCTGCTATTGTTCAAGATACAGATGCCTTGGTTTTAAAAGAGGCGCGCCTAGGCGCGAGGCGCAGCCAGGCACTGAAGATGGCGCTCGCCTGGGTTGAGGCTAGGCGAGATACAAGAGGCGCCACGCCTTTGCGCCTTTTGTTTTTAGATTAATATTTTAATAAATTATTATATTTTAATATTAAAAAAACCCAACTTAAAAAAATCACTAATGATACAATACAATCACCAAACATAATTCCTAATATCCTTTCTATATCACACGTCTCTCTTCTCCACCACGTGATTTTCTTCTTCACCGACCGTCGCAGTAGTCACCACAGACCAGGTAGTTCTTTTGCTCTAATAATAATAAAATAAAGCTAATCTATAAAATAATAGATTGATAGAGTAAATAGGATAGTGTCACCGTCCGTCTCTTCACTTTTGTTGTTGTTATATTCTAATATAATAAAGATAGCCTATAAATAAACTAATATTAAAAATGTAATTAAAATATAAATAAGATAGTGTCACCGCCTGTCCCTGACTCCGCTCACCTTAGGATAAGTGTCTCCCATTGTTTTTTATTCTTTGTTAATTTGTATGGAAAACACCTTATCAAAATTTCCAACTCTTTTCTTATTTCAAAAAAAATTGTTTACACTAATATTTTTTAACTTTTATTAATATACTCATACTTATATTAACTTTAAAAACAAATCATTATAATTTATTATTTATAATAATAAAAGATATAAAATATTAACTAATTCATAATTTATATAATTTTAAAACAAAATAATAAGAGATTTCATTAATTTACTTTGAAATTAAAATTATTTATTATATTTATATATAATACAAATAGTGTGTCTCGCATGCAAAAGGCGACCGCCTACACCTAGCTCTAGGGACCTTTTGTGTTTTGGTGCGCCTTTAAAAACCAAGGTTCTTGTCAGAAGTGGCATATATTTTTCATAAATAGAATGTGGTTGTTTAATTCTGCAGTGGCTGAAAGATTTTAATTTTTCAATTTTGTACTTTGAATAAAAAAAATGTATTATGCTAGTATTTGAGGATCTTGTAGCACAAAGTATTTGAGAGGGCAATATTTGCTTTCGTTGCGTCAGATTTTCTACTCATATGGAGCTTGAATAGTTTACTGCTCACCATGTTTTGCTCCAATGTAAATCTGTAGTTTTACTTGTTCTTTCTTTAGACAATTTCTTGATTGTCTTGAT